TAGAAACGTGTGAGTGACTTTAAAATTAAGCAATGGGTGGAAATTGAAAGAACTTTGCCAATCATGATAGGGATATTTTCTTCAACAGATTATTGATATAAATTTAGACTTTGAGGAAGCTGTGGGTGAAGACTCAAGAGTAAAATGAGAACTGTATTGTTGAAATTGGAGGAAGGGAGATCCTCGTTACATTAAGGCCTAAAATTTAGCAACTCTTGCCTTTAGTAGTGTTGAAAATAGGAAATATGCCTAATGAGTTGGGTAATCTAGCTAAGGAGATTTCTAAGCAAAGATGAAGCTGCGGACAGGTTTCTTCTTGTTGCTTACAGTAAAATTCCAGAGGTGTGCCTTCACTGTTAGTTGTGAGGACCATTCCTGATGATGCTCTGGGATCTATGCAGGGCCTGGTATCAAACCCAGGACCTCACACATGCAAGGGCTGTTTTCTATTACTTGAACCATAATCCTGATCCTCTCTCGGTCCTCTTTTTATTTTGAAAAGTAAATTTTAGCACACACATGGTGGTGCTCAGGGATTCTCATCAGCTCTGTGCTCTGAGGTTACTCCCTGTGGTGGTCTCAGGACTGTGAAGTTCAGGGGATCAAATCTGGGCCTCCTGCATATAGGCATGTGCTCCTTTGAGTCCTTTGAGCTCTCTCTCCAGCTTTTCAGTCCTCCTTTTAGCACTATGAATGCGTCACTTTTCTAGTATTTCTCGTACTGTGTTGTACATACACTTATCAATACTTCTCTTTAGACTCTAGGTTTTATAAGAGACCTTCTAATGTGCTAGATTATGACTTAGATTTAGTATTTTGTTTTGGGCTACACCCAGTGGTGCTCAGGGTTTATTTCTTGCTCTGCATTTGGGAATCACTCATTGCTGGCCAACTCAGGGGACCATTTGGGATGCTGGGGATCGAACCTGTGTCAACCATGTCCAGGACAAGTGCTCTTACCTGCTACAGCCCTCTGGTTTTAGTTTTAGAGAGAATGATTCTCAAGTCTTGGCCTTTTATTGTGTAACAGTGGTAGACTATTTTTTATAAAGCTCAGTTTTATTATCTGAAGGTTAATGGTTATAATTACTAGAACCTAGAAGAATGTAGGTGCATAGTGTTTGATAAAGATTTAGTGAATTAATGAATTAAGCTCTGCCTGAAACTATTATTGTATAGTTTATTGTATAGTTTATGGGAAGTAATACATTGAAAGTAGCACAGTGCCTGATATGTGGAATTGTTCAGTCAGCACTAGTTGTATTTAGCTTTTCCTTTCTTTCTTTCTTTCTTTCTTTCTTTCTTTCTTTCTTTCTTTCTTTCTTTCCTTCCTTTCTTCCTTCCTTCCTTCTTTCTTTCTCATTTCTTTTTTTTCTTTCTTTGTTTTTTTCTATGGTTCATATAGTTCTTGATATAGTGAGAACCGTTTCATGGGTGAAGCAACTACTGAGCAAAAGATCTGTTAATAGTTCTGGATGAGCTATCAGTTATCACTTGAGTTTAAACTAGAATTACTTGGACATGAAGAGACTTCCACTTCAGTTTTTTTTCTTTTTTCCTCCTCCTTTTCTGGTTTTGATGGAGAAACACTGTACCCATCCTATGACAAAACATAGGAAGGCTTTTGACTTAGGAATTGATGTGTTTCTTGGATTTGGGTAGCTGTTAAAAGGAGATTTTCTTTCTTTCTTTTTGTTTTTGTGGTTCCCAAATTGAACCCAGGGCCTCACACAGGTGCCCTACCACTGACCCTCATCCCAGTGGAAGACTTTCAAGAGGAAGTCATGAAAACTGATTTTGAATTTCAGTTCAGACATCTGAACTGAAGTTTGAGATGTTAAACACGAATTAACCAAACCAAAGAAAGGAATGTGAGTGTAATCTTGGAGCAAACAAAGGCTTGGAGCATGCAAAAGCATAGCATATGCTAGGAATTGCCAGTCACTCAGCACTTATCAGACAGGCAGGAAAATGAGGCTGGAGAGAACAGATCGTGAAGGGTCTTGTCAACTGGTCTCTTCCTCTGGATTTCCTTGTAAATAAAGCCTTTGTTTCCATGGATTGGGAATCTTTGAGTCATCTTTGACTCTTGAGTTGCCTTCACCATCTCTAAGCTCCCTCTTAGGTAGGCCCCAAATTCTTTCACTTGGAACAATAGCAAGATCAAGGTGTAGACTGTATTCTTTACTGCAGACATGACTTATTCTTAATTTTAGCACTGGTTCACAGACTCTTAGTAAATGTTTAAATGAATGGTTATGCGAAGAAAGTTCAAAAGAAGAAAATGTTTATTGTTATTATATATGCCTGTGTAACTTCTGTATTCTCCATTTTATTATTGAAAATCTAATAGTGTTAGATCTGGTTGAAAAGTTATCTCCATGAAAATTAAGAATACTTAAAATGCAAGCTGGCTATTAGTAAAGTCTGTGTGGTTAGTGCACTGATGGGTGACAAAATCAGCATATGCAGGGAAGAAAAGTGCCAGACAGTTTCTAGACATTTGATTATAATGAATGCATGCCAGTTTACATAATTGTGCTCCCTCTACCCACAAACTGGGAATTATCTTGTGACTCTGAAAAGAAATTAATTTCTTAGGAAAATTTATTAACATATTTATTACTCATCACCCATCAGTTTATAATGTGGGTACATGCTTCTTCAGCTTATGGATGTGAACTACATTTATTTTCTGCTTACTGTAAGAAGAAAACTATGCAGAAATGGTTAGTCTTTGTAACAATTAGGCATTGTTTTAGTGAAATAATTGTGCCTTTCCGAAAACAAATTATGTATCAGAGGCATATCTGTGGAGCAGCTTTTAGTATCATCAGCAACACAGCTGCTTGTAACTATTACTCTTTTTGTTATGTGGGTCACATAGACAGCAACTCTGTTTATACTTACAACCCTGCAGACACTTATTAAGACATTTGGAACACAAATAAATAGAATAGAGTTGTCTAAAATGCTTTTATATGAGTTCTTGAGGACAAAAATTTTTATAGAATGACAATAAAATTATATGTATGCATGTTAATATTTTAATTTTGATTTTAATTTTGATCTTTATAAATTTAGTCTACTTGTTCTGTATCTTAACAGGAGTTATTAGGGAATGTTTGCATTGCATTACCTCCATATCATGTCCTGTTACCTCTGCTTTTTTTTAAAGATTTTTTTTTGCTTTCATTTAAATGCGAACACACCAGTTTGAAATCAGACATATTTTTACATATTATAACTTATCTAGCCAAGTTATCATGCTTCTTTCTGGGCCACACCATCGATGCTCAGGGCTTTTACTTCTGGTTCTTTGCTCATGGATTAATCCTGGTGGTGCTCAGGGAACATGTGGTGCTGGGCATCCAATTGTCTGACTGTGTGCAAGACAAATGACCTTAAATATCTTTTTTTTTTTATTGAATCACCGTGAGAACAGTCACAAAGCCTTTCAGTTCAAGTCTCAGTAGGTCATAAAATGATTAAACACCCGTCCCTTCACCAGTGCACATTTTCCACCACCAAGAACCCCAGTATACCCCACCCCCCACCCCCCCATCATTGTGGCAGATTTCCACTTTACTGTCTCTCTCTCTCTCTCTCTCTCTCTACATTGATCACATTCAATATTATTACAAAAGACCCAACATTGTTATTTGGAATTTTCCCCAACATTCAGACCTGCCACAGAGACATCATTAGAAAATTTGTTTTCTATTGCTGATTACGAAGAGCATATGTATGTCGTGTATCCACAATAGTGAAATATATATTTTTTTTAATTTTTGTTTTTGTTCGGTTATGGTCCACACCTGGCTTACTCCTTACTTAGTAATCACTCCTGGCTGTACTGAAGGGACCATATGTGGTGCCAGGGATTGAACCCAGGTCAGCCATATGTAATGCAGGCACCTTACCCACAGTACTATCTCTCCAGATAATGTGGTTTTTAATAATGTATTTGGTATAACAAAGTAGACTTTGACTAAATTAAAATGACATTTTGTCTTTATGGAGCGATAGCACAGCAGGTAGCAGGTAGGGCTTTTGCCTTGCATGCAGCTGACATGGCCAACCCGAGTTCGATTCCACTGCCCCTCTCGAAGAGCCCGGCAAGCTATTGAGAGTATCCTGCCCACACGGCAAAGCCTGGCAGGCTCCCTGTGGCATATTCGATATGCCATAAACAGTAACAACAAGTCTCACAGTGGAGACGTTACCGGTGCCGGCTCAAGCAAATCAGTGAACAACGGGAGGACAGTGCTACAGTGCTACACACTTATCCTATGTTTAAATGTTTTTGTAGAGACAGTTGGAGTTGTAAGAGATACTACTCTTTTGTACGCTTTGCCCAGTTTCTTCCAATAATATTTTCAGTATAGTGTTTCACTGGAATATTGACATTCATCGTTCTTATTTTTCTGATTTCTTCAATTTTACTTCAATGTGTATTTGTCTAAGTTGAATCCTATATTGTTAATTTGTGAATGTTCATATGCCTACTGTTACAGTCTGAATAGCTCCATATCATAGCAGTTCCTTATGTTGCCACTTTATAATAATCTGTTTCTCTCCCATCTCTTCACTTTCCCTTTCCTTTTCCTGATTCCTGGCAACCTCCTATCTTTCTGCCCTTTCTAAACATTTGTAATTTCAAAAATGTTATTTGTAACCAATCAAACAGTGATGAAACCAATTAAAGTTGACCATTTTCACTAAGCATAATTCCCTGACTATTCATTGACGTTTATGTGAATAATATCCTATTCATTTTTAAATTTTTGTTTGTGAGACCACACCCATTGTTTCTCAGGGCTTACTCCTGGCTCTGTGCTCAGGCCCTGTGACCTTGGAAGTTCTTATATGTGGTGCATAGGATCCATTGCCTATTACCTGTTTAAAAATTATTATGTAAAAATCTTCTGTATAGTTTAGAACTTTTTACTTTCTTCCTAAATCTATTTTTAAAATACATGTATTTATTTTTAATCTAGGTGACAAAACACGACCGCCTTCTTCAAGTCCTTCTAGTATTATTCGTCGCACTTCCTCCTTGGATACACTTGCTGCTCCATACCTTGCAGGGCACTGGCCTCGTGATAGTCATGGACAGGCTACACCTTGCATGCGGGACAAAGCTACTCAGGTAGGTTTTAAGCTCTTCTGAAATGTTTTACTCTGATACCATTTTCTACATTATTTGTTCTACTCTGTGCTCAAAGTCTCTTTTCTCCCCCCGCACCCTGCGGTGCTAAGGATTGAACCAGGGCCCTTAGACATGCAAGGCAAGAATTGAATCACTTGTGTTGTATCTCTTGCCCTTTGGTGGTCAGAGTTCTTTTTTGGGGCCAAGAGGGCCATACTCAGTGGTTCTCAGGGACTACTCCTGGCAGTGCTTGGGGGACCATAAGATGTACCTGGGATTCGAACCAGTTTTAAAGCTGCAGCTATTTGCAAGTGTAATTAACTTCTGTACTATCTCTGACCTTTGTGCTCAAATTCTTACAGCATTAGTTTGTATTACAATTACCCAAGAAACCTGTTCAAATATGCAGGAGTGCAGGCTTGATGCCAGATATTCTACAGTAGGTTTTGGCTGTGGCTAGGGAGTGTTTATTTTTAAGTTTCCAAAGAAATTATGATGATATGGATAATTATTTATAGAGATACTTTTCTCCCACTTTTAAAAAACTTAGACAATCACAGTATGTTTATTACATTAATGTAAATGCATACCACTGGTGTCTCACACTTAAATGTGCTTTAATTAGCACAAATTGGTTCTTTTGTTTTGTTTGGCTACACCAAGGCCCAAGGTGGTGTTCAGGGCTTATTCCTGGCTCTGTGCTCAGGGATCACTCCTGCAGGGCTTAGGGGATCATATATGGTGCTGTGGATTGAACCCAGGTCAGCTGTGTGCAAGGCAAGCACCGTACCTGCTGTACTATCTGTAATTAAATATTTTTAATAGCAGGAATTGCTTTACTTCCCCACCAGCCTTGTGTTTTTGTGCTTAAAATTGCTATCTGTTGAGCGTCAGGGGTTATATTGTGTTGTTGATGGTTCCTATACATGTAAATATCCTGACAAAGGAACTCTGGAAGTAGAGTTTAATACTATCAGATTAAATTTTTTTATTTAAAAAGATTTTAAGAGATTTCTTTGTATCTACCTAATAGTTTTACAAATAAGGAAGCTGAGGTCCAAGTTGATTTCACTGGATCTTAGTTTGGTGAAATTTTTTTTATCTTATAATTGTGCGGCAATTATAATACCTATTTGTATATCATTTGTTTACATTTATTTAATGTTCCTTATACTTACTAGACTGAAACTGTGAACACAGGAACTATATCTGGCTTTTCTATTTTTTTTTTTAAATCTTTAGACAGGTGTACTTGACATTTAAACATCTAAGGAATGTTTGGAAAGGAACGTAATAGAGAACAGTTGAAGCTGTATAGCTAGTGAGGAATGAAACTCATCTAGAAAGATTTAAAAGTTACTTTTATATTGATAGTTGAAAATCACCTAAGGTACATCTCAATTTAGAGGGTATTTCTCCCCTCCCCTTTATTTCCTTTTTGATGCGTGCTGTCAGGTAGTGCTCAGGGGATCTGGCAGTTCCACCAGCAGTTGCTGGCCAAAGAGGCTGTTGGTTCAAAAGAAGGGCCTGCCAGAGAATGTGATGTTCCTTGACCCTTGAGTGCCAGGGATACTTGGGCTATCCTGGTAGTGCTGTGGACCTCCAAGACTGAACTCATTATGCTTAAAGGACCAGGTGGTGCTAGGACTAGAACTTGAATGTGCCTTAACACTGTATTAACTCCTGGCCTCTCAATTTTGAGGGTTTTTTTGTTGTTGTTGTTGTTGTTACTCATGGCTTCCTGATTTAGCATTTTGTGAGAAACTGTTCTTATATAGAACTTAGTAAAGACACTTTGCAGTGATTTTTGGATTTGCATATTGGTTTCCACAATTCCACGTGTTATTGGAGATTTTTTTGGTCTTTTGTTCTTTGAATCTGTTGTTAAGTAAGATGCTTGGGATTTAAAAGTATCTTTTTTTAAATATTTTTTTATTAAAAAATTTTGATAGTGAGACATCATGAGGTACAGTTGCAGACTTACACATTTTTGTGCTTGGGTATACAATGATCAAATACCATCCCTCCACCAGTGCCCACTTGAGGTTTATATTCCAGGGGTAACTACACAAACAAAAACTCATTCATAGAAAGAAATAAACTTTTTTAGAAATTTTCACTTTTGAACTGAAGAGTTCTGCATTTATGCAAAATCTGTAAGTTTGCTGAACTTACTATGACATATAATATGGGAAATGAGTATAGTTTACCTGCTTTGTAATTTAAAGGTTTTTCACCTTTTCCATCCTTTTATGTTTTTGTTATCATTGCAGTGACTAAGTGTCACCCACACGTGACTACAGTGCTCATACATTTGGTTGTGATGTTCATTGGGGGTTACATCCATTTGGTTGTGATGTTCCCAGGGGGTTGCACATGGGGCTGCAGTGCTCACACACACTTGGTTGTGGTGCATTAAAAATCTTGCACTTTGTTGTGGTCCCAGGAATTCCAGACAGCCATTTACTAGGTTACACTAGGGCATGGAGGATGGTACTGGGAATCAAACATGCCATTAAGCTGTCGCTCAGGTCCCCTCTGTCTCCTTTCTGCCGAATCCACATGTCATGTTTAAATCAGTGTGGGTGTATTTCCTTGAATGTTTCTGCATCCTTCTTTATTTCCTATGCAGTTTCAGGTTGAGTGGTTTCAAATATTTTGTCTTTATCAGTGGAAATATGCATTCTTACAAACCACTGGGAATCTTTGATCTGTGAAAGTAGTTCAGTAAGTCTTTCCAGAAGTAGTAACTTTACTCTGACAATATTGAATTAAAATGTAATCTCCGAGCTTTGTTCATTTTCTTCAGTGTGTGCCCCAAATGGGACTATAAGAGAACAGTGCTCCAGCCTTGTGTTTCTCAAGTGGGTCGCAGGTGGAAATTGTGTAAATAGGGGGGCCATGGCCGAGTCCAGGTAGGACAGTCTAGGTAAGCCACAGGAAGGAAAGGGGTTGGAAAAAGGTTGAGAAACACTGCTCTCTCTTACCACTGCCAGTAGAGGGGGTATGATGTACAAAATTAATTGCCTAGAAGGCAAGATTTCCCATTTATGTTTGGGAGTTTGGTGTAGCGCTCAATACCACATTGTCTCCTACCCTGTCTCCTGTTTTCCCTCCAGCCATGCTCTTTAAAAGGGTAGACAGATTTGTGTATTGATGTTATTCATGTTGCAGTTCCACTAATTTAATTTGATACCTAATTTTCAGGGTGTGCCTATTGTATTTTTCTGAGCATATCAATTTAGGGGGAGAAAAAAAGAGCATGTGTGTGGTTGAATTATTAGCATTCTTTTGACTCAAAACATAGTCTCTTTCCAATATTTGCAAATAGGCTACTTTATTATAGAGTAGTCCAATTGTATGAATATGTTATGAATATATGACTCATGATTGATGATTGTTTTTTTTTCATATTTCTGCATAAAATTTAATTTTACTTTGGAATGTCCTTAGTTATTTTCTTTTGGGCCTTCTTTTTTTATACACTATTTTATTTTTTCCTTTCAGATTTTGAGTTTGATACATACCCCCCTTCCCCCCTGCCCCCTTGCCAATATTCATTGGCTTGAAATTGTGATCCAAGTCAGAGACTTTGTGAGGTAGTCTGTGTTTAAAGCCTAATGCAATTAACGCTTGGTAAATCAGAGGCTAAATTAATGTTGAATTATTGATGATAATTCATCAATAATGAATTGTTTCATTTTTGTCAGTTTTTGGGTCATATCCAACTATGCTCAGGGTTCTGCACTCAAGAATTACTCAAGAAACCATATGTGAAACTGGGGATCGAACCCAAGCTGGGAGTGTGCAAGGCAGGCGTCTTACTCACTGTACTATCTATTCAGCTTCAACATGAACTGAACCATTGGCATTCCCACCAGTAGTGTAGGCGGGTCCCTTTCTCCCCACATCCACGCCAACACCAGTTGCTTTTGTTCTTTTGGATGTGTGGTGTGAGGTGATATCTCATAGTTGTTTTGATCTGCATCTCCCTGATGATTAGTGATGAAGAGCATTTTTTCATGTGCCTTTTTGCCATTTGTATTTCTTTCTTGAGAAAGTTTCTGTTCATCTCATCACCCCATTTTCTGATGGGGTTGAATGTTTTCTTCTTGCAGAGCTCAATCAGTGCCTTATATTTCCTAAATATCAACCCCTTGTCCAATGGGTATTGGGTGAATATCCTTTCCCATTCTTTAGATTGTCTTTGTATTTTGGTCACTGTATCTTTTGCGGTGCAGAAGCTTCTTAGTTTAAGATAGTCCCATTTGTTTATGTCTGTTTCCACTTGGTTGGTCAATGGAGTGTCATCTTTGAAGATACCGGTAGCCTCAATATCTTGGAGGGTTTTGCTGACCTTGTCTTCAGTGTACCTTATGAATTCTGACCTGATGTTGAGATCTTTAATCCATTTTGATCTGACTTTTGTGCATGGTGTTAGGTTGAGGACTAAGCCCATTTTTTTGCATGTGATTGTCCATTTATGCCAGCACTATTTGTTAAGGTTGCTTTCCTTGCTCCACTTCACATTTCTTGCTCCCTTATCAAAGATTAGATGTTCATACATTTGGGGTTGTGTGTAAGGATATTCCACCGTGTTCCATTGGTCTGCGGCTCTGCCTGTGTTCCTGTACCATGCTGTTTTAATTATTACAGCTTTGTAGTGGAGTTTGAAGTTGGGGAGAGTAATGCCTCCCAATGTCTTTTTTCCCAAGAATTGCTTTAGCTATTCATGGTTGTTTGTTGTTCCATATGAATTTCAGGAGTGCTTGATCTATTTCTTGGAAGAATTTCATGGGTATCCTTATAGGGATCTCATTGAATCTGTATAATGCTTTGGGGAATATTGCCATTATGACAATGTTAATTCTTCATATCCATGAGCAGGGGATATGTTTCCACTTCCTCTTTTATTTCGTGGAGTAGCGTGTTGTAGTTTTCATTGTAGAGGTCCTTTAAAAGGAATTAGGGCTGATTCCAAGGTACTCGATTTTCTGGGG